AGTATTTATAATCTAAATTAACAAATATTTTCATCATGTTATTATAAACTAAATTACAATAGTTAATTACATAATTCAAATTATTCGAATTATTATTTCATTAAATTACTATAACTAATCACATGACTAAATGATTAATTTGTTAAATTTTTTTAAATAAAAATACTAATAAAAGTCTATTTTTAATAGTTTGAATATAATATATACACAATATTATATCGTCGTGGGACACTTTTTAAAATATGATCACACTATAATATGTTAAAAGTAAAAATAATAAATGAAATTAGATTATTTTATTAATCAATTTGAAAATATTTTGAATTCGAAATTTTCTCTGGCAATTCAATACAACGGCACGAGGTTAACTTAATTTGATTATTTTTAGGATAATAAATCGTACACTGTAGGAATTTAATATTTAGKTAATATCTTATTTTCTATGGAGCCGCTATGACAATTATTATGCGTGTACCTACATGTTTTTAAAATTTTTTTTTTATTTCAGAAAAAAATTCTTGGATACGTGAGAAAAGAAAAAAAATCCAACCATAACATTAGTAGTAACACTAAAATATATTTTAATAAAAGGGACTTTTAAAGAAAACAGTCAATAAATGTATATAAACTCTTGGTTCTAACACTGAATTATTATCATGTACCTATGATCTTCAGGGTCAAAAATGTTTTCGGTCATAAGTTATCGCGATACTGTCACATCTTAGACTACTGTTGTGGCGTGACGTCCAGTCCCCCGAGACGACGCTTCAGAAAGCAAACTATGGTATGATACGAAAAAATCAATAATTTCTCATTAGGATATTGATATTGTTATCGTTTTTATTTTCTCTGTACGCTCCATGTGCATATATAGACTGTATAATAATCATATAGTATTTATATTACTTTATTACCACAATAGTAATAGTAATAATGATGATAGTTGTACAGCGTTTTGCAACCAACTGTCATAAAGCGCGTAAAACCTCTAAAGACAGAGATCCTTCGTGAAATGTGAATTTGGCGCCGCCGAACTGTAGTTCTTCGAAACCGTCGTTTAGAACGTGTGTGTGTGTGTGTGTGTGTGT